CAAAGGGTGGAGGGCAGCTGGTGGATGGGCCATGTGGGCAGCGCAGCCTCGTGTTTCCATGCAGGTTGGATTAATTGCTTTGGGGGGTGTTTTTGGAGGGACATTTCTCTGCAGATCACCAAAATTTTCTTGCGGACCACCAGAGGTCCACAGCCCGCTGGTTGGCAACCACTGGTCCAGAATACATGAGCAAATATCTGACAGATAAAGTATGCCAAACACCTCATTCTGACATTTCTGCCAATGTTGCAATTACTGTTTTTCTAAACACAAATCAGCTATTTTCTCAGTCTGATCAAACCGTTTATCCAAAGTAGCAAATGAAATAGAAAACTTTCTTCTTTGTTTTGAAAACCAAAAGTTAGGTCCAGCTTGCTGAACTAAGTATTATTCTTTATAAGGCATCCTTCAAAGGTGGCTTTTAGGGAAAAGCTATTTTTTTATTTCCTCAAGAAAGTTACTGAGCTGAATTATAATTACCTATAATATCTGAGCCACTAAAAGAATAAAGCAATATTTACATAATAAACAACTCTATACTTGCCAACAGAAAACAGAAACACATTGCACTGGTTCAAATTCAAGAACAAATACAAGATATGTGGAACCAAGTTGGCAGATGTAAACATTTAATTATGCATTCTGCTTCCCATAATAGCTTTATATTTAAAAATTGCATATTGGATTGGGGGATCATGTTGAAATTGATAGGCAGTTAAGTGCAGGATTGGTGAAAGGAGAACATCCCAAGCTGGATATGAATGGAGTTTTTGGAGTTAAGAATGTTGGTGGATCCCAGGTTCTGGCCCCACACCAAAGCCCACTCCAATTACAAAAGCCTTGGAGATAGCCCTGCCCAGAATTGTGGGGCTCAATTTCTAGAATTGGCCATCCTGATGGAGGAATCCCGATACTTGATACCGTATCTGAAAACTGACAATATTAGAGAAGACTGCTATAGTTCATCAACCAACTCTTCCCCAAAAAGTCTTAACTGAGGCTGCCTCAGGAAAGATGTCTATTTCGGTATTTCTAAATCAGAGATTCACTCAAATGTAACAGTTAATTAGATGCAAATGAAGATAAAAATGTGACAGTTACATTTTTGAGTATAAGCAATCTTTAGAAAGGTGATAAATTTTTATTCAAGCTTCTTAGAAGAGGCTTATATTTAATGATAATTAACCAGACAGACTCTTTTCTGCAATAACAAAGCAGTTATATTATTGAGTGACAGCACCTGCTTCCTTTTGTGTACAATATGACAGGAAAAGAAAAACATGTAATGTAACAGAAACATTTGATTGAGTACAAATTGAGTACAAATTTACATCCATTCTGCCTGATTATAAAATACATGCAATAATACTTCATTTCTGTAATTAAAATTATCTAGAAATAACTATTTCAGTTCTTCTTAAAAGAAAATATTTTAACTATGGCATCACTAAAGAGAATTGTTGCATTAAAATACAGAGTTTGTCCATCTTATAACTGAAGCTAAAGTTAAGGTACAAACCTGTAATTAATTATTGACACTTGCTGGATAGGGATTAAATAGATAAATATTTGTAAAAATTTGGTGCAACACCTAAGTTTTGTAAAATGACTAATAATATTATTTTCAATTAACTGTGATGTTGAAACATTACTGATGTCATCCAAGCAAAGTAATAGAAATTAAAAAATAATCAAATTACAATAAAACAAATAAATACCTCATCCTGTATAAAGTTAGAAGTTGGAATGTTCAAGAATTTTTACCTTTACTTCTTTAATGAAGTGTGGCTATACTCTCATCCTTATCTTTTTGCAACAATCATTCTTTATTATCTTCATTTTCACCTTATCATTTCACCCAATGTCCTGATTATACTTCCCATATATAACTTCATACATAATATACTGTATACATAATTCTAGTTCAAGCAGCTTCCACATTCTCCTTCCTTACAACCAATTTCCCTTATTTATTTTTTTAACAAATTTTATTCAGTTTTTCACATTAAAAACAAAAATCTCTTTTTAGTGGACAACATATTTCCGGGTCATCACCTTTACATACAAATATGACAGCAATTATACATTCATATATGCATACTTAATTCTATTATTACCTTTTCCATTCCAAATTTTCAGTAAGGAGAGAAACAAACACATTAATTCTAGCCTCTTTCATTAATCTCAATCGAAACATCTTTTTGTTTCATTTCAATTATTTCAAATATAATCCTTTAATATTTATTTTATAAATAAAGATAAACAATATGTGTTTGCCTAATAATAATAATTTTAAAAAGTTACCAATGTCTCTCCTTGCTTTTAATAGTCTATATTAATTTATTAATCTAGTTGGTTCTTTAGTCTGTCATGTTCCCTTTCCATTACACATTCTTTTTATACATTCTAGATTAATACAAATTTTAACACTAAAAAAAAAAGTATAAGTTTCCCCCCCTTTACTGTTTTGAGTGTGACACCTCAATGATTAAAATATACCTTTATTCCCTCATCCTGATTCCCAATAAACCATTATTTTTAAGAAGTTACAATAATAATCATTACATCTTTTCATTTGGATTCCGTAGCATATTTTCCCCGCTTGATTTTTAATAAGAGTTATCAGTATCTATATTACCCTATTTTCTAAATATTTTTAATTGCAGAAATATTCTTATTACCCCTTGTCACCCTGCAGAATACCCTTTTTAATTCGTCAACCATTATCTCTGAAAAAACAATTGCTTTTCAACATTTTACTATTTCCGTATTTCTTTATTTCATGCACCTGTTTCTTACTGCTTCTCCACCCCCTCTTTTCCCCATATCTGTTCCCATTCCAGTTTATATCCCTCTCTTTCTTAATATCTTCCTTTCCCCTTTTCTGCTGGGTCTTTCTGCCTTTCCTGACTTCACAGGTATTCCCCCTTTTGATTGCCTTCTTAAATTTCAACTTTTTAACCTTCCTTCTTTCCCCACTTCTTTGTAGTGTTCTTTGTGTTAATTGTCTATTTAAAGTGTCTTCTCCTTGAGTCGACTCCTCCTCCTTTGAAGCTTTCTTCTTGTTCTTCAATCGCCATTTCCATTTTTTCTAATACAGAGCAAAGTGATTCGCCTCTTTCCTGTAGTAATTCTCTCATATTTTTAAGTTCCATTTTTAATTCCTGAAGAGATATCATCATTACACACTCTTGTATTTTATGATCATTAAAGTCCACAAAAAAACCACTTTTAATTTCCTTCTTTCTTCTTTCAATTTTCTAAAGTTCTCAGTTATTCCAGCCAAGGGTCTATACCAAAAACATCAATCAATCCCACAGTCAGTCTCCTTGCTTTTTTCTTTATTCTGGTTCTGCTTTCACTTTCTAAGATTCTTACTTTGATTCAATATTTCTTTAATGTTATATCCACACAAGTTCATTCAGAAACAGGATGCTTTCCGTTTTGTTTGAGCTCAAGTTTTTGTCAAAAGGTGGCACTCTCCATTATACAAAGTCTTCACCTTTTCCCCCTATTTTTTTATTTAGGGTTTTTCAAACCTCAATATTCCAGCACAGTCCAGTCTCCAATTTGTAATCTTTATTATTATTATTTCTTGACAACCTTAAGGCCAGCTTTATTTTATGCCTGTTTATTCCCAAAATATTTTAGTCCAATTTAATTAAATCTTTAGTTCCAGCTTCTTCCTTTCCCAGTTTGAAGCCCTGCTTAGCTGTCAAAAATATTTTCTTTTTTTCCCCTGTCCCTTTGTAATTTCGCCGCTCACTTTTCTTTTCTTAAAAATTCCGTTACCTTAATCCCGGGGTACTTTTGTTTAGTTGTATTGCCCAGTTGTCCCGGTTCAGATGTTATCCACCTCTTTCTTCCCTCCTGCACAAATATTAATCCAGCTGAGTCCTCCTCTTCGGAGTGGCCATTTTAAACCACTGCTGCAATCGTCTTTGGGGGAAAAAAGACCAAGCCCAGGGGGGAGATGCAGCTCCCCACAACCTGGCTTGCAGCTTCCCCTTACTCTGCCGCCCCTCCAAGGCAGCTTCAGCCTCTAATCATAATAATTGGGGTTCTCCAATGAAAGAGCATGGACCATAGCTGCAGAGAGTTGTGATCTATGGTCCATCAGCGAGGAGGCTCTGCCTTCTTCCCCCAATTTCCCTTAATTTTGTTGACAAATTAATCTATCTTCTAATATTTTTTCAAGACTCATATTTTTCCTTCTTTAATCACTCCATTATAAATGTAGTTTCACTTTTTTTCCTGCTACACCCATTTGCCCCCAAGATCAACTCTTGAAAGTATCAAACAAATATTTGCCCCATAATTAGAATCTTTCAGTACCCTTTATTCTTCATGTTTTAACCTTTCATCATAAATAGTCAAACTTTTCAATAATAGTCAAGCTTTTCAATACATTCCTTTCCCAAGAATGGACTTTCACTTTAATCACATATTCATTACAGTAAACAGCCATTTGATTAAAAAAAATCTTACTGCTAGAGTACTGAGTTTCGATTTTAAATCTGAAGCAATTTTGTTCTGGCTGAACAAAATTATGACTCTGTGTGAAAAACAGTAACTATATCTTACATGAGGAAAATACAAAGCTTGGATCATGAGACATAGACTCTTGGCAATCTTGTTGTCTCCTGGTTGCTAGACTGACTAAATGTCTGATTAAAGACATTTTTTTCCCCAGGCTGTTTGCTTACTAGAGATCTTAATGACATTTACAAGCAGGAATGAACAGATATACATCCCTAAATTTCAACAATTTCTTTTCACATCAAAGACTTTCCATAACAACTGATTCAATATTTTTACCATTAGGGTAATGGAAAATTACTTGAAACATTTTTATTTACCTATTTATTTCTGCCCTACTACTGTTACAGACCGTTTAAAGTCAAACATATTGAAAAAAAGAAAACTTGAGCCAAGCACTTGAATGTGGTTCAGACATAATAATAAAGAAAGATTTGGTGCTATTTGCTCTTCTCTGTTACCTTCTAAGGAATTTATTTTGATCAAGTATCGTAGGAAGAATCCAGTAGATGGTTTGCCAAAAGAGTCATGTGTATCAAGTGTAAAGCAAATACTTTGAATGCTGAGTGATAGAAAGGGACACAATAATTAAGCCTGAATTGAATTACATGAACATTTTACACAATTTACATGTTTGTCTTCTTTATGCAACTCCTCTACAGGCTGATATATGCTTCAAAGGAGAAGCAGAAAACTATGCAGATGCATTTAGACAATGGATGGATGTACTTCAATGCTCATTTTCTAGTATTACAGCTTCATTCAAATTAACTCAGCTACATTATGGACCTAAATGTTCAAATCAGAATAAATATTCAGGATTCTCTTATTGTCTTTGCTTAGAGGTTAAAAGTTAAATTTCTCAATAGTATCATTTCTTTTTATATTAGGTTTGTCTAATGGGTAATGATTGTATAATATGGACAGCATCACAGATAGCAAGAGAATTCTGAAATCTATCTTGTTTGGAATCAGCACAGTATGCCTAATTTAGTATTATTTATGCTGATTGGCAGCTACTTTATAGCACGTGGAAGAGGAAAGATGTCCCCGTCTCAGCCTTATCTGGAGACATTATTTGGATAGTTAATATTAAATACTATCTATGCTACTTTGCTCCTCGCCCCTCCCCGAATTTATTGACTTACTGGACAACTGTAATAAGAAATTTCCATTGATTAAAAAAAATAATGAACCCATCAATTTGAAATCATAGGCTTAGAAGCCTTGACTTTTGGTGAACTGAGTATATATTGATCCTTGTTTTTGATTAAAGTAAATCAGCTAAATATATTTTTCAATCTATAACCATAATATACACAAACAAGTGATATTACTCTTAATTTTAACAGACAGGGTATTTTAAATAGTAGGTGTCTAAAACAAAGCCATACTACTTTGCTTTAGATACCTAGATACTTTAGATAATGGGTTTGTAGTTTATCAAAACTAGGGGAAAAACTGACAAAACAACAAGCAAATAAAAACATATGTAACTGAAGAGGTTAAGTTAAATGCTGAATTAAAGCTGAAGATAATTCTAACATGCAATGAAATGTAAGCAGAGATATGACCCTGGATCACTGGATCATTCCAGGTATGAAGAGAAACTTTTCCTAAATATATTTGTAAACTGACATAAGGCCAATTACATTTTTTTCTCTAGCTATGAAATTGCTACCTTTTAATTCAGAAAAGCATATGCAATATATTTAATATGCATAGAAAATGATAATCTTGCTTATATTAAATGCAAAATTGCTTGCACAGTGTAACATATTCATATTCTGATCCATGCTGTTTGCTGACATGAAATAAAAGTGATCATAATAAAACCAACCATAGTAGTTTTCTATTTTTTGTGATATAATCTTGAATACTGATATACTTTGCCAAATTTGTGGTATTTCAGAAACAAACAATATAGTATGGTAGACACAGATTATAATGCGGTGATTATATTCTTTGCTACCATAATTCTGAGATCAAGTCTTCAGAATCTATACCACATATTTCAGTACTTTTCATTTTGGAAAATTTATTACCCTTATATTCATTACTGAGATGACAAATTATTGTGTATAAAGGTAATATTTTTTCAACCTAAATGTTTTTTTTTATAATACTTAAGCTTTCTGAATTGCAGGATATTCATATCTTTTGGCAGATCCAAAGGGAGGGGGACCATACTTTCATTATGAAAATGATGTTTAATACTTAATTTTATCTACTGCAATTTTGTATCTGCTAGTATCTGTAGTATATATCAAGCATCATTTTTATTCTTTTCAACAAATTGTTTCCAATAAATAATTTATAGGTGAGTTCTAGTTCAAGAATCTCTGCAAAAAAGAACACAGCTTCTCTATTAGTTTCAACTGTTACAGTTCAATCGTTGTTTTATCAGCTCTAAATAGAGATGGGTGAGTTCACCTTGGCACATATCAGATTACCCTGGAAATTAATCAAATGTTCAGTTAATTGTTGGCTCATGCCAGATAGTTCTTTGAACAGTCCCAGTAAAGCAATTTTTTTTTTCTGTGGGTTATATTGAAGACTTGAAATTCCCTATAAAACCAGAATGGCAATAGATAAAAAGTAATTCAGGTGGGTGAACATCTGCTGGCTTTTTAAAGGACAGATCATAAACACAACTCCCTGGGCAAACAATATGTTTTATTTTAAGTGTGTTGCCTAAAAGCAAGGAAATAGGAAAAGAGCAACTTTCAGTTTTTGTCAAAATGATTCAAGCAATATTATAGTATCGTGCTGCAATTATTTGTATACAGATCAAGACATAGATACAAATGGGACAAAGCTTTCATCACAAGACCCTAATGCAATATTCTTCATCTTGTCACTTCTGCAAACATCACCGAGGATCAAAATTTCTTTTCCCTATGTCTGTGGATCAGCCCTTTAATTGAGAAATTTTCAGATTTGATTGTAACTCAGTATAGGATTCAGGGGTTTTTAAGCTTGTCTCTTATTTCAGAGAAGTATTATAAAGGTCCTGATTTCATGAACCATTATAGCATTTCTAATCCTGAAGGGATGATGTGTCTTTTCTACTAACACACCAGATGAAACCATTGAAATTGATGTTAAAAATAACAGACATACAGCTACTAGATCTGAACAGGAGGAAAAGAAAAAATACCTGAATGAACACTAGGTGATAGCAAGAATATGTAAAAACAAAACAAAAACTCTTGCTCTCCACTCCTACCTAGTGACCAACCAGATTTTTGCAGTCCAAATACTATTAATGGTTTTTAAATAATGACAAATGCAATAACTGAAAAGACATCAGTTCATCTGAGAGTGTGATATGTGTGGATATCTTTGGATCAAGAGGACGGATTAGAAGAAAAATGAAATGTAAACTGCATTAGTTGATTTCTTAGATATGTTTCAGTGTTAAAAGATTCAAAATAGCTTCAAATATCTGACCCCTGCCATCAAGGTTTCACAGAAGACAAATAGATCCAAAATATGAATGCCATTCTTTCTGATATCAAATCAGCAAAATGGGCAACATCAAGTGAAAACAGAGAACATTTAGCTACATTGATATCCCTTCATTAAAAAAAACATCCATCTTAAAGAACTAGGCTTGTCAACTGAAATCTAGCTTATAGGTTTACTACTGAAATCTATTTGCTATCACTCATAATCAAATTCTGTAGTCATGCAGAAAATCTGGCATGCAAACCAGAAATCCTACTACTTGCTAAATTATATAACCTGAAAGCATATTGCTGTAGATAATTATTAACCTTATTAAATTGATCAACTGCAAACCAGTGTCCCATAATATTCTGTAATTATGATATCTAAATTTTAAGAATTGATATACTGTACCCATATTTTTGGCATCCACTTCTTTTTTTTTAAAGAATTGCCTTTCATCCTGGCAAGCAAAATTTGTGAATGCTGTAATTGTTTCACTGTGTCACTAAATTGTAACAGCAGACTACTGTTACGGACTACAAGTAGTCTGTAACTCTGCAGACTACAAGTACAAGGGTGTGCAAGCAAAGCCTATGATAGGCTTGTAACCTGTTTTCTAAAGGACCCTGGAATAGGCACAAGCAAACAGCTATCTGATCCTGAAATCTGTTGCTTATTATTACAGACATATTATAAAGGAATTGGAGTATCAAATAGAGATTCCATGGGAAGAAAATAGAATAAATGAAATAACATTTTATGCATTTTTTTCTTTTCAAACAATACATAAGATGGTTAAGATGTGAATTAAATTGGTCTATCGCTCATCCTAAACTGGGAAATAAATATACACACATCTGTTTAGTAAACAGATACTAAATACTGATAATAACACAATACTAAAGAACGATAAAAGAAGCTTGCATTAATACAGAAATAAAACTTCCAATTTTAAGACGTTGCAGAATGGTAGATCTGATAATATTCCAGATTCAAATCATATCCTTTTGGAGAATGTGTATTCTTAGCCTTGCTCCTTGCCTTCTTTTTAAAATAAAAATCAAATCTTTCTTGGCTTCATGCAATGAGTGATTAAATCAAAATATCCCATGGTGTTTTGTTTTACCAGATTCTTATATTTTCTTCTATTTTTAATATTGCTTTTTGGTCTCCCAACTCTCTACATAAGCAAAAATTAAGACATGCTATATTCTTGAGAATACAGCAGCTTCTAGCACTATGGCAATGAAAAAAATAAAGTACAAAATTAGCAATAAATGTTAATTGTCCAAATAATCTATATTATTTTCAATTATATACACCACTCTTGTTTTAATGGGTTATTGAAGTGTTATTTATTTGTATCCCTTTATTCTTCTTCTTCTTTTTCTTCAGCGTTTGTCTCGCGCTCGGGCGAGGTCCGCTAATGTCCTTGAGTACTGCTTCCACACCTCTCTGTCTGCCACGTGTGTCGGGTCTGCCTTTGCGATCTCTAGATCGGCCTTGATCGTGTCCATCCAGCGTTGTTTAGGTCTACCACGCGGTCTTGCTCCTCCGACAGTCACCTTCATTACAGATTTGATGATGGATTCTTCCTTGGCGCGGCTCACGTGGCCGAACCATCGTAGCCGGGACTGCCTCATGACCGTGGGGATGGGCACGACGTTGAACCGTCTACGCACTTCTTCGTTCCTGACGCGATCGAGTAGGGTGAGGCCTACCGACCATCGGAGCATTCGCATCTCCATTATCTGGAGTCTGCTTTCGACTTCTTTGGTCGTCGGCCAGCACTCTGCGCCGTATATGGCCACGGGGCGCACCACAGAGTTATAGATTTTCGCCTTCAGGCGCATCGGCATCTTCTTGTCACAGAGGACGCCCGTGACGGACTTCCATTTGCCCCACGCTGCATTGATCCTGGCTGCCACCTCAGTTTGTAGTAGGCCTTCTTCCCCAAGAGTAGTTCCCAGGTACTTGAAGGTGGAGGCGCGCGGTAGCTCCTGCCCGTTCACGTGGATGGAGCCTGTCATTTCATTGTCAGTGGTCAGGTATTCGGACTTCTTTAGGTTCAGCCGGAGCCCGAACTGCTCGAGGCGGTCGTGCCACTGTTGGACTCGGTGCTCTAGTTCAGCCTTGCACAGGTTGGCCAGGAACACATCATCGGCGTAGAGCAGCGTCCATGGGGCGGGCGTGTACAGGTCGTGTGTAATTGTGTCCATCACCAGAATGAACAGCAGTGGTGAGAGAGCAGAGCCCTGGTGTACGCCGACGGTAATATTAAACTCCTCTGATATCCCAGCTGCCGCTTTTACACGGCTTTTGTGACATCTGTATAGGAGTTGGACCCATTGTACGAGCAGCTCAGGCACGCCGTGGTCTCGCAGTGCGTACCAGATGAGATCGTGCGGGACTCGGTCGAAGGCCTTTTCCAAGTCTAGGAAGGCGGTGTGGAGCGGGATTTTCTTCTCTCTGTGAGCCTCCATCAGCATCCGCACACCGAAGATGGCGTCGGTGGTGCCGCAGTTCTTGATGAATCCAGCCTGGTTGACGCTGATGTCGACGGTGTCCCGAATGCGCTTATCAAGGACGCGTTCAAAGATCTTCATAGTGTGTGACAGTAACCTGACCGGTCTGTAGTTGGAGCAGTCCGCTGGGCTGCCCTTTCCCTTCCAGATCGGAACAGTGGTGCTGCGGTACCAGTCGTGTGGCACTTTTCCCGTGGAGACGATGTTGTTGAACAGCTCGCACAGCCACAATGCCGAGCCCGGTAGTGCCTTTTTCCAGAAGTCGGCAGGGATGTCGTCTGGTCCTGTTGCCTTACCGTTTTTCATGGCCTTGATGGCGTCGGCGACCTCGCTGGCATAAATGCCTGAGACTGGGCCTTCAACTGGGTCACCTCGCGGGGTTCGTGGGTGTGGGAACTCCTCGGTGGAGATCTTCTCGAAGTATTGCCGCCACCTCTCCGCAGCGTCTCTGGGGTTGATGATCAAATTTCCCCTTTCGTCGTTGATCCCATGAAACTGGTCAATGTCCAGGGTCTTCCTGTGTCTGCTTTTGGCTAGGCGGTAGATCTCATTCACGCCTTCTCGCGTGTTCAGCTTCTCGTAGATGTCATCGTAGTGGGAGCTTCTGGCTGTCGCTACTGCTTTCTTGGCTGCCTTTTTGGCCGCCTTGTATTCGCAGAGCTTCTCGCTGGTCTTGTCCTGAAGAAAGGCCTTGTAGAGCCGTTTCTTCAGGTGTACGGCATCTTGTACTTCCGGTGTCCAGAGCCATGTATCTCGTTCGATGCGTCTCCGTCCTGGCTTGGTGCAACCAAGCTGTTGGCAGCCGGCAGTGTGAACAGTGCTCTTCAGCATGGACCACGCTTCCTGTGGCCCGTCGACCATCTGCGGGAACTGCTCCGGTTTGATGAGGGGTCCCGCCATCTTCTTCTGGTTCCACCACTTGATTCGTGGCTGGTTTGCATTTCTTTTGTCAATCCTGGTCTTGGGCTTGCTGATCCTGATCTTCGCCATCAGCGGCCTGTGCTGACTGCTCGATTCGTACGGGTACGCCTTGGCGTTGAGCACGTTTTTAGCGGCTCTTCGTCGTACGATGATGTAGTCGATCTGTGTGTGGTGGCTCCCGTTTCTGCTATGGTAGGTGAGGAGTTGAGATTCTCGCCTAATGAAGCAGGTATTCGTGATGGTCATATCATGGGAGTCGGCAAAGTCCAGGATCCTCTGGCCATTCTCATTCGTATCGCCTGTGCCGTGCCCACCGTGGCACTGGTGTCCGTTTTTGTCCCGCCCTACATGACCATTCAGGTCGCCCGAGATGATGATGTCGTCTTCGTGTGGGATCTGCCTGAGTTGGATGTCGAGCAGTTCCCAGAAGGTATCCTTCTCCTCCTCGTGACATCCGGTCTGAGGGGCGTAGGCGGACAAGATGTGTAGGGGCGTAGGCGGACAAGATTTGTATCCCTTTATTATTTTTACAAAAAAGGTAGCAAACATACCCAACATACCTTCCTCCTCCTATTTACACATAATTCTTTTTAATAAGTGACTGAAAATGTGCTGTCAATGTATGACACCTACTTTACTTTCTCCAAAGCTTTTGCTCCTGTAAAAAAA